CACAATATGTGCCTTAGTTCCTTTCTTTGATAACATATATGACATGACCACACAGGCTAGCAGGCAGAAGGTGATCTTCCCGGAGACTGCAGAAGACCACAACAATATGCCTCGACAATCTCAGCTTCTCAAACACAGATTATGCCAGGTTGGCGATGCCCACAATATGGGTGAGAAAGCTGGGGTCAATACAACTTTGGCCACTTGAGGGTGCCACGGCCATATTCCATGTCCAGCAGGCAGCTAATGGAGCTGCCACCAGTGGTCCTGTTCCTTTAAGGGATGAGATCGTAGCTTAAAGAGTTGGCAGGCAGAAGTAGAGCTGACCCCTCTTTGGTTCCACCAGTGGTACTGGGAGTAGGTGACCACTGCCAGCACTGCAGCCAATCAGCTGAGAGACTCATTGCTGGGATAAGGAATCACCAGGGCTAGCCAGTCAAATCCTGTTGAGGGGTAGAGGGTAGTGGAATTAATAAGGGCATGTTGACACCAAATACCCTCTTTTTGGACCACTATGTGCCCAATCAGCAGGATATAGCCCCCACCCTAAACCCACAGGGAGGCTGCCAGATTTAACACAACAGTCTCCCTGCAGGACAGAGGGGCTGCCCACCACTGGTCCGTTCTAGAGGTGGCGGGAAGAGATCCATAATTAACCACACAAGTGACACATTTAACAGGAGGACTATGCCACTGGCAAAATGCCTTGCAGTGCAAAGGCAATGGGCATAACCACCCACTCTCCATCCTGAATTTCAAGTTCGTCCAACCTCTTACTGAACTCCTGCGAGCAATTTGGATGAATACCTTTGTTCACTGTGGCTTTCCAAAACCATGTGACCTCAAATGACTTTCAGATTTATGGAAAATAGCCATTTACAAAGCACACAGAATCTGGTGTTAGAAGTGAAGTAGCAGGAATTGAATGAATTTTATAGCTAAAAGACAGCTAATAGATGTAAACAAAATTGTAGAGAATTATTTAGACTATGTAGGAAGGTGATAGCTAGATGCGTCATTATGATTTTGAATAATTGTGGGGACGTGAAAGGAGATTTCAGGAGGAATTTGCAATTCTTCTAGTCTCAATGACAGATAGGAGATCCCCACAGCATTAAACAGGAAGCCTGCACAAATAAGACTATTAATTCTTATCAGTGATGGGGAAGGTGTGCTACAAACTGTTTTGAACCCTAGGCCTCTCTGAGGGCCAGAAAAAATTTGTGAAATTTTGGATACTTGAAGACCAACTTTCAATCCTGTAATAGTTTTATTTGCTAACATTAGAGAGCGAGATGACAGGATGAATATTGATCGATATGTGATTGCATTGAGACATCCAGCTGAATCTTGAGTGCTTGCGCAACTGAAGTATAACCTCATCAGATATACAATTGTCTTGGGAACAAGAGATCCTACTATGAAAGCAGATCTGCTGAAAGTCAAGAAATGTACTCTCAAAGAAGCTCTTGACATGTGTAGATGCTCTTGGGTGGCTAACAATCAGGTGAAGAGTATTTATAGGAGAAGTGATGATGCTATGAATTGTGTGGAAAGGCAGACCAAGCTTTCTAAGTCAATGAAGAGAAAAGGACCAAGTAAAGAAGGACCAGCAAAAAGATCAAGACCAGAGTACAGAATGTAAATACTGTGGCTAACAGGACAAAAAGCTGAACATCTTTTCACACATGTTTTGCTGTAGAGGAGAAAATCAGCCTATAAAGATGATTGCTGAATAGCTGGTTAATGATAGTTCTGAGAAATTATTATACAATAGGGAACATGTTGACAAGTCTCAAAGTAAAAATTGACACATTTTTGTTGGAATAAAAATTGTGGGCAGAGATCTCAAGTGAATGTGAAGTGTCAGGTGAACATTGGTTTTACATGCAACATCATGAGCTTTACAGACTTGTGGGAAATTGCTTGAGATATGACCCAAATATAACTCTAAAGGTAAGTTTAAGGTCACATGATAGAAAGATGCTCACTCTGTGGAAAAACTAAGCCCACAGTCTAATGCTATGGGAAGAAAGAAAATGTACAGTTTTGGACATTGAACACCAAACAAAACAAAATCCCCTCATCCCAGTTAAAACAAGTCAAAAATTGGACTGGGAACCCTACAGATACTTAAAGAGATTTGCGGTGTTTTTTAAGTTCACAAGCCACTGATTGTTGAACAAATCTTGATAGGCTACAAAGATTGCTTTCACAAGTCTTTGATCTCTCCTTGGTGAATATTGTCTTAATGTAGTTGAAGGTGTGAAGTCAATTGAACATTGTTTGAAGAGAGTTCTATTTGCCCTCAAGTCCAACCTGTAAGACTAGATGAAAATCTGGGAGTAACCAAGTAGGTTAGAACTCCTATAGGCTGGATTAGCAGCACTGTACCAATGAAAAGTCCTGAAGATGTTTGCTGTACCTTTACATTCGATTTTCTGGCCTGTCCCAAGCCAATCTCATCCAGGATCCCTCAATAATGTTGCTAATCATTGTGAATAGCATGCAGCAATGTCCAAATCACTTTGGGGTCTTACTTATACCCTACAGTTCCTCTAATTTCTCCAGCTTTTGTGCAGTACGTGGGCTAGAAACTCAGTGTCTTAGAGGTAGTGTTGTTATCATCAAATATTTCATCCTTGCCCAAAGAGGGTAGGTGATAATTGAACATGATATCTCAGTCAAATGAGTGCAGAGCCAATCCAGATCTGATGGGTCAGTGTTTCCTTCTGTGAAGTACAGAAAGATTTTACATAAATGGCCACCATTTTCAGCTCATTTCCTTTTGGTGTTCAACCTTCAATTACTAAAATTACTTGGAGGGACAACATTAGTAATGAAGAAGCGCTACAAATGACTGATCAGAGGTCCATATGTGAAATTGTGACAGAAAGTCACCCCAGCTGGCAGAACACATAGTACACCTCCCATAGTATTCCCTGCCAGAGAGACAGTAGAATAAAGGCAAACAGATACAAATAGAAGATGGAGGTGGCCAAAGGAGACCTGGTGAAGTTTATTTAAGGAGGTCTTTACAGTAGAATACCACTCATGTGCTTTGTGGTTTTCTATATGTTGATCCATGTGACATACACAACAGACAGTCAGGTTCATTTCCAGACATATCCCTAAGTTTATCAACAATTACATACGCAAATATGGCATCTCATAATTACATAAACATGTCTGAGTTATGTACTTACTTAGATTACTATTACATTTCATACATAGTTAGTCACAGAATCATAGAGTCATAGAGGTCTACAGCATGAAAACAGGCCCTTTGGCCCAACTTGCCTAAGCTGCCCAGTTTTCACAACTGAAACTAGTTGAATGAATAACTAACACACTAGTCAGTTACTTGCTAACAGACTGACTAATGAATAGAGAGTAAGATGGAGACCATCTATACTACAGCGTCACATGTTGTGATGTCAACTAGTTACCTTAAAAGTGTTTAAGATTTGTGTGATAATACAACATTCCTTTTTCTCTTTTTGAGGAAGAAGAAATTGATTCTGATAATTCTATGCAAGAATGCAAATTCATCTGTTATCTTAAAGATTATGTTTTGCTGGTCATATGACATGACTCAATCTAGTACTTATATAATTATCAGGATGCGTTCTGTAACTTTACTCTGATGTGCTGTCTGTCATTGTGGATGGATCTGTATCACATGTTACAAATGTATGGTTGCTGTAAGGTATGAAATTTTCACTACAGGAGTCATCATTTTGTAAGACAGGCCTTGTTCAACTTTTGTCATCAGTTTCACCAAAGGATTTGGCCATTATTTGTGATGACATCATATGACCTTGGCTGGACTCAACAGTGTAATATCTTCCCATGAACCCATGTATTCATACAAAGATCTGGATCTCTGATGCT